TTTCTAGGTTTCATATATATATGTTAATATATGATATTTGTTTTTCTGATGTACTTCACTCTGTAAAATAGGCTTTAGGTTCATCTACCTCGAATATTCCCTGTCTTAAGCTGAAATCTCCTTTTTAAAAAGCTGTCACTCCTGCTTCTAGTCCCTTTTTTTTTAAATTGGAGTAGATTTACAATGTTGGCTAGTTTCTGCTGTACGGCAAAGTGAATCAGTTACAATATATTCATTCTTTTTTAGATTCTTTTTCCAGTTGGTCACTACAGAATCTTGAGTAGAGTTCCCTGTGCTACACAGCAGGTTCTTATTAGTTATCTATTTTATACACATAGTAGTGTGTACACATCAATTCCAATCTCCCATCTAGTCCCATATTCAGAACAACGTAAAGTCAGTCTGTTGCCTATCCTTTGAATCAACCCCCTAAATACTGAAGGTCACCTGTCACTTCTTTTGACCTGTTTCTTCTCTGGACATTATCTAGTCTCTTCATCCATTTCTCTTAGCACACCGTTTACCATACACATGGTTACAGAAAATTCATGGCATTGTCTTCTGAGATACTCCAATTTATAAATGTGCTGTGCATAGTCACTCAGTCGTGTCTGACACTTTGCTACCCCATGGACTGTAGCCGTCNGGTTTTCATGAATAGGATTTTCTAATGCTTCCATATTTTGTTGTCACTCTCAGAAAATATTTCTCATAGTTCAACTGTAACTTTCATCAAAATTATGAAGTTGCTTCATTTCTGATGTCACCAAACAAATCAAATTAATTAAATGTATGTCTTTGATTCTAACATGGCAGATCACTATGTCTTACTAGACAGTTAATCCAAGTCTTCTATAAATATGCTTCCTCCATTATAAGTCTCAGAGTGTAAGCAAGCTCATGTAAGCTGAGCTATTCACAATAAAATTAATGTACTCAACAGGGCTCTGGTCACCCACTACATGTCAAATACTGTGCTAGATTACGGGGATTTGAAGAAATAAGGTTTAATCCCTTCCCTTCAGCTACGTTCAGTCTAGTGGGTAAGACCTAAATATGAACGTAAACTTTCAACACAGTGGGGGTAAAAATAGCATTACAGAGAATCATTTATGTTCACAGATGTCATCGGTACCCAGAAACATGACTATCACAGTAGGCACTCTAATAGATGTCTGTTGGCTAGAGGAACAAGCGAATGCATCACATTGCACTAAGAACAGAGAGGAGAGGCACCAACATCAAGTCTGGGTGGGCACTTACTTGTGCTGGGGATTGGAGTGATGGGTAAGGAAGATTTGTTTGATTCAACCTGTATTTGCGTCTGCAATATTCTGACCTCACTCAGTAAAGGGGGAGGCAGGAGAAAGGGAAAGGTGCGGAGAGAAGGTAAAACCATCTTAATTGTCTGTCTAAAAGGATTTTATTTTAAGATGATTTCCCCTAAATTGCAGACTCTCAGCCTGAACCTTGGAGGAAAGCAGTTATTTTTATGCTGATTACATTGTAGCCCTAAGATAGAAAGCAACATATTTGGATTTAAGTGGCTGAGAGCAGAAATCAGACCAGCAAGTCCAGTGTGCAGGCCACTTTGTCACACCCCAGAGAATGTACTAATGACAAAGCTCTTTCTATTTGAAGGCAGACTTCAACAGATTTCTGAGACAGGAAATTAAAGGTTCAACTTAAGACCACCAACAGAAGAAACTCTATTCCCACAATTCCTACAACTCTATTCCTATAAAAGCTGTATTCCACAATGGAATTATTCTAAATAAATTTATAACTATCCCTTCTTAAAGGTTTGTCTTTATTATCCCTTACTAGCCAGAATGCAAGTGTGAATTCAGGCAATTACAAAGATAGCTGTTGAGACAAAGTAATGACGGTGTCCTGGTTAAAATCCTAGTCAAATGATGAACTTTCTGAGAACCCATTTTACTGCAAAAACTCAAGAAAATTAAGCCAGTGAGTGTAGGTTTCCTCCACTTATGCTGCCTTACACAATGATGAATCTAGAAGGGAAGGCAAGCTGATTCCCTGTCTAAATATTTGTCTTCTTTTAGAGCTGACTTAGAATAAATTAAGTTTTTCTGCCTAAAACTGCCAAGATGGAAGCAAAATAGAAACAATGTTACAAATCTTGATTATTTAGTCTCTCCCTCGCTATATAATTACATGACCACTTTCAGACTTCAATATTTTGCCCTACTGTCTTTGTCATACCCCTGGATCAAGTTCTAACTTAGGATGATTTAACTAATAGCTCTGCTCTATTTCTGCTCCAATGCTATTCAGTGATACTCAAAAATCTTGCACTACTGGGCAGGTTGATGCCACTACAAAGGGATAACTTTAAAACTCCTTTTGCTTACTCTTACTCATCTCTCTGTCCTGGTCCTCCAGGCAGGCTGTTACAGATCTTTACTACTCTTCCTCTCTGGTCAACTGTCAGCTGACTACCTTGCTTCCTACCTTCTAAAGAATGAAAGCGCCAAAGAGGTAGAAACCTCTTCCTTTTACCATCTGACAATTATCTTAAGCTTCTTCCTTTCTCTCTGGGAGGAGAGAGCTTCTTTGTCCAAGATCCCTTTTCCAGGTGGACTGTATCCTCGTCCATCTCCACCAGGAGTTGCTCCACTAGGTAATCTGCTTCTCTTCTGTTTCTCTTTCATTACAAACATCACTCCCAACAAAATGTTCTCAAATCACTTACTTTTTCAAGAGCCTTCCTTTGATCCCACCAGTACTGGTAGCTGCCATTCTATTTCCCTCCTTTCCTTCAATATCAAATGTGTAGAAAATGAAGGTGGCCTGCCTTTACTGACTCACTTTCTCAAGTTATATTTATTATTCCACCCTTATAATATGACTTACATTCCTGCTAATTCAATCTTTTGAGATGACCATAAACTTCATTATTCCTAGTCAAAGGCTGATGCTTAATCTCCATACTGATTGGCAGCTTAGTGGAATCTGGCATCAATAAGATTCCCTTCTCTCAAAATCCATTCTTCCCCTAAGTCTTCGCTGGATTCATTCGGTCTCCCTTGACAGACCCTTCCATTCTGTCATTATGGTTGTTTAGTTGACAAGTTGTGTCTGATTCTTTTGCGACTCCATGGTTTGTAGCCTGCCAGGCTCCTCTGTCCATGTGATTTCCCAAACAAGAATACTGGAGTGGGTTGCCATTTCTTTTTCCAGGGGGTTTTCCTGATTCAGGGATCGAACCCGCATTTCCTACATTGACAGGCAGGTTCTTCACCCCTGAGCCACCAGGGAAGACTTCCATTCTACTCGTCTTTTAAATGTGAGCTAGTTTGCCAAGTTTCTAGCTGCGGGACTCTTCCATACTTTCATCCCTTCCCTTCGACTGGGGTTTGGGGGAAAGGTTCTCAACTGCTAAATAAACACTACATCCTCTGGTAGAGTTGCCTGCCTCAAAAGGCACAAATAATAATGAATAGTCACAACTCTTTTGAGTTCCACACTCACAATGCTAATCTCTGGAGACCTCTACTAGGATTCCTTTTAATTATTTCAAATTTAGTATTTATTTCCCTCCCTATCCCCAGCACATTTTCCTATATCCAGGATTAACCACAATGGCATTATCATCCATCAAATCTTCTAAACCTGAACATTCAGTGCCACCCTTAGAGATTCCCTCTCTCTGTCTCATTCACTAACATTTATTAATACTAACTCAGGAATGTTTACTGTATCTAATCTTTTTTTTTCATTTTATAATTATGTTTAAAATCAGGTTTTTTTACTATTTGGGGAGGCTAGAAAATTATTGGAGAAGGAAATGGCAACCTACTCCAGTGTTCTTGCTTGGGATATCTCATGGTCAGAGGAGCCGGGCAGGCTATACTCCATGGGATAAAAGAGTTGGATATGACTTAGCAACTAAACCACCACCAGAAGCTTATAAAATCTTCCTAATGTTCCCTCTTGTTTTTCCTTTTAGCCAGTAAACACATTTTTTCTCATGGTGACAGTAAACCATTTTAGAAATAATAACAACAAAGCATTTCAAACCGCAAGACTGTTTAAAAAACAAAAATATAATCATATACCTTGGTTGACTATTTTTTACAAGATTAGAAATTTTAGATTCCTTTCCTTTGCATTCAAAGCTCACTGCCATCTGGCCTCATCACATCTTCCTAATTCATCACCTCTCTTCCTTCACATCCACATACACTCCAAGCTTCACCATGTTGAAATTCCCACCGTAATTGTGAGGTTCCTTTGCAGGTATTACTTTTCCCCTCTGCCTAGAATGCTTTTCTCACTATGTCTTCATTCTGTATCTTTTAGTAAGCAGCTTGAATTTCATCTTTCTAGGTGAAACCTTTTTCAGTTACCCACAGAGTTCTTGAAACCAATAAACCTTCTCTAACTTCTGGTGTGACAATGTCTCCATTTTCCTGTCACTCTGATTTGACAATGTAGTCTTTTAGGACAGAGAATTTATCTCACTCATCTCTGTATCTTCAGAGCTTTAGCAGAGTGCCTCGGTTATAGACAGAAGTCAGAAAATATCAAATTAATACATTTTTGATGCATATATATTTTACATTAATCACTGAAAATTAATGATGGGAATTCAGTAAGGTAAAGAAATTCACCATTATTTTCATTTCAATAAGCCTACCAGGTTAAACACAAACATTACTTTTATAAATTAGGTAAATATGTCATAAAGACAGTATATTTTTAAGTCATTTATAAACTATATTTATGGGGCATATTTGTACAATTAAGACTGCTTGATAATGAATACATTGCTGTCAATTATAATATAAAATCTTATATAGTCATATATGTTTCTATTTTTCAGTACACTTATCTAATTTCTATATATTGAGAATATAACTTATCATTAAATGTATTTACAATAGCTATAATGGCCTCTTTTATTAAAATAATTTTTTAATATTAAAATTACTTCATATATACAGAAGTCAATAAATGTTTTAAATAGTTCATACCTTCATATATAAAATTCATTGTGTATTTATCCTCTTGACAATGCATAAGAAAATAAACTGCTTTTCAGGTACCCAGATCTGACCATACTTTCTTTCTGTCCTGTCAGAAAATTTACAAATCAAACTTTTAACTTTTTTTGGGCAATTAAATCAATATAAGTAGAATATTTCTTAAACTCATTTAAAAAACTGTCACGGCAGTGATTCCAAAATGTAAGCCCACTTCTGAAAGTGTTCTTTGTATTATATTGAAATCTCTAGAAGAATAAAAACAAGTGATTTTACTAAAATAGAAGTCACCTGTGTATTACCCCCATGATTAATATACAACAGCAACTGTGTACATTTTGTTAGTTGGTGGGTCAAAAGAATGAGAGTTAGTAATACATGGCATTGTTACCATATATTGTTATGATTTTCACGAAAGGAACCATCTGCAGTCATAGTAAGAAGCCTGAAATAGTCACTACTGCAGAAGACAAGTGTTGAGAATCTCAGTTTCCTCTGTAAACCTTTTCAGTCTTTGTTGTCACATCCAAGTATTTGCTGTATTACAGTAGAAGAAATCTAAACACTATCCTATGTAGCTGTCAACTTTTCCTCAAACTTTTGACAAAGCCTGAATTCTTGGCAAGCAGTCATTCATTTGAGAAGATTTGTGTTCTCACTCATTATGCATTCTTAAGTCAGAACTGTTTCTACCTTAACCATGCATTCTTAAGTCAGAACTGTTTCTACCCTAACCTGATTCTATAAGCAGAATAACAGGAGTTAAGTATTAATATTTTCCTAATCATTTTGTATCTTAAGGAAAACCATTACCTTGATTGGTTTTGCTTTAGACACCTATAAATAATTTGCACATACCTGACAACCAGATTTCACCTATTTGAAAGTATAAATTTCAGAGAGACAATGAGAACCTAATATCTTTCATTTAAAATCTTTCACAAGCCATCAACAGCAAAGTGAAATAACAGTGAACATAACATGAAAATCAGAATGAGAGGCTCTCCCAACAGAGGTGGTCAAGGTTTCTAAGTAGGTAATCCTTCTTATATTACTTCCTATACCATTTCCTTCTCTAATCTTAGTAAGTCAGTCCGAGGGTCATTTGCTATGTTTCCAAAGGACAGAATTCAGTATAGCAGTAAGTGAAAGTGAAGCTCTCACCCTCCCTACCTTCATATCCCAGAGAGAAAACAAACTGAAGTCTGAAACCATATGTACTAGGGTATCCAAAATATGTGTGTGTGCATGCATGTTCAGTTGTGTCTGACTCTGTGCAACCCCATGGAGCCCGCCAGGCTCCCCTGTCCATGGGATTCTCAGGCAAGAATACTGGAGTGGGTTGCCATTTCCTCCTCCAGGGGGTCTTCCCGACCCAAGAATATAACCCAAGTCTCTTGGGTGTCTTCTATTGGCAGGCAGGTTCTTTACCACTACGGCCACCTGGGAAGCCACCTCGAAGATATAGTGAAAATAAATATAAGAATAAATAAAACTGACCACTTTTGACAAATGTAATTCTGTCTAAGAACTTTTTCTTCATATTTCTAAAATGACACACAGTAATACTCAAGAGTCCTTTTATGGGAATAAAAAAGCCAAAGAAAAAAGCTGGGGTTTTATGATATTACATCCATTACACAGGAAAGTTATTGCGCTAATAATACTTTTAGGACAATATTTTAATATTATAATGAAAATGCTAATGTAAAGTATGAAGTATATTTTAGGAAATGCAACCATTTAAATTTGGACTAAACCTAGTAATTTAAGTGAGTGTGTGTGTGCATTCTGAATCAGGTATTGACAATGCCTGGAGAATTCAGAGAAGGCTGGTGGCCTACAATCCATGGGGTCACAGAGAGTCAGAGACAAATGAGCGACTCACACACACACGCACACACACACACATTTTGCCCTGTGCACCAAAGAGTGGAGCTGATTTATATGCCATTGACAGTAATTTCAGATGATTAGAGACACATTCACTCTCCATTATTCATTTAAACTTGAGGTCGCAATCCATAGGTCAGAATTCACAGCTCTCGTGTCTGTGTGTGTCTGTGTGTGTGTGTGTGTGTGTGTGTGTGTTAGAGGGAGAAGGTTGTTAAACAAAGGATCATTGTTGAACGTTACCAACTAGTTTCACAGAAACATCTGAATTTCTAACTTTATAAACAGAAGATCTTTAAAAGTTAAAATCACAAGACCTGGCATTGCCATATTTTTATATAACAAAGCATTGTCTTAGTTTTCAGACAGGCCATGCTTTTTCCATTTTGCCACAGTCCCCACTATTCTATATCATTGCCATGAATTCCCTTCACTATTAACGTGAAGGGCTGGCTTATTGGAATTCATAAATCTTAGATTTAGATCTTACAAAATGGATTTATGTTTTGGAACAATTTTTCCCAAGTAGTTTCCTTTTCCATGTAAAGTACTAATCAACAAGGTTCATCATCAAATATCTTCACTGCTTATGAAGAATTTTCATATATTAATATGACCCACACAGTCATCCCATAAGCTAGGCAAGGTCCATATCATTTCCACCATTTTACAGATGAAAGACAAGAAGTTGGGCTTCCCTGGTGAGTCAGTAGGTAAAGAAATCATCTGCAATGCAGGAGATCTAGGTTCAATCCCTGGGTTAGGAAGATTCCCTGAAGGAGGGCATGTCAACCCACTCCAGTATTCTTGCTCGGAGAATATGTTACGAGATACAGACATCCCTAAGCTGACTTTTGGTATGTATGCAAGTTGACATTAGGTCTTAGATCTTTCATCTTCTGGTAATTGGTCTTCCTGCTCATCAAAGCTACCCGATCTATATTCTAATGCTTATATTCTGGAGTTTATAGAATCTACTCTCTTAGGAAATCCATTCCTATCTCTCATATTTGCCCAACATTTTCCCCCACTCCATCCTATCCCTAGACTCCATATTTCACCCAATCTAGCCTCTAGCTTTGATTGATATTTCAACTCCAAACTAAAACCTTACTTCCTGAGGAGACTCTTACAGACACCCCGAGACCTGTATGTACTCTCGCCTTAGTTGCACCCACTGTACCCTCTACTGAACCTGTTGGCACATGCTTTACACTGGATGAGTGTCTGTCTCCCTGTCTGGGTCTTAAGTGCTACAGGATAAGAAGCACTATTTCTCATTCAATGCTGTGTCTCCAACCCTTAGAAGAACTGTGTCTAGCACATGTAAAAGTCTGGTGCCAAGTTTCTGGTTTTGTGTTTAAAAATAGTGTTTTAATTATATCAGTCTAACTTAATAAGTGAACAGCAACTGACATTTATCGAGCATTTTCTATCAGCTTCTTCAGATGTTCAGACGTCTTTATTGATGTCAGAACGGCAGGATTCTGGATGGGAACAGAGTATGTGTCTGTTCAAAAATACAATCCTGGGATTCACTCTCACCACTTTCTCGGCTTGTGTAAGGATGTGCTACCTTCACGCTTTATTTGACATATACCATAGTTACGGCATCTGTTATCAATGACACTTAAATTCTTTGTGACCTCACCCAATGTCTAGTTTATAGCCAAGAATTCTGAGACAGCAATTTAACTCACTTGGGAAATTTTCCTCTTATTTAATATAATCTTTTTTCTTTGTTGGCTTTGTCTAAACTGTCAGTTAGCAATAAATGGTGACAGTCTTTATTCTTAAAAAGTGTTTATTTACTTTTTTAAAAGTACCACACTTTTTTCCTGGAATCCTCAAAAAAACAAAATAAGGCAGGGGGAAGGATATTTTAAAACATTTTCTAATCTCCTTCTGGTTTTATTCATTTTCTTTATTTTTTTAAACAAAAGCCGCTGTTTGTCAAGGTTCCTATAGCCAAAACTCATTAACTATAAGCTTTCTAAAAAATAAAACGCTATCTTAGGTATGTCTTATGGATCTTTGAGGCAAGGCTAAAGCCCTACTTAACAGTAGGAACTCATTAACTACTAATGAATTTTATTGTAGGGGAAGAAGGAAATAAAAACCATCAGCAGATGGTAAACTTTTGAAACTAGAAGAAAGCTGCTGGCAATCAGTATGGCAAAGATAGTCAGTAGGGAAGTATTGAGATCATAAATAAAATTTTGCTTTAAACCACTCCTAATTCCACTGGGAGACTTAGTGAGTCCTAAGAAAACACACCATGAATGAAAACCCAAGGAAAGTGACACTGTGCAAAAGTATTGATACGTCTTTAGGAGTGCAGTGTTAGTCACTCAGTCATGTCCAACTCTTTGAAATCCCGTGGCCTGTAGCCCTCTGGCTCCTCTGTCCATGGGATTCTCCAGGCAAGGATACTGGAGTGGGTAGCCATTTCCTTCTTCAGGGGATCTTTCCAACCCAGGGATAGAACCTGGGTCTCCTGCATTGCAGGCACATTCTTTACCTTCTGAACCACCAGAGAAGCCCATATGTTTACCATTACTAAATTTAAAATGCTCCTTGATTTTTCTATACCTAGGCTGCATGTCACTCATTTTGTGAAGCACTTTCTAACTCTATACCCCAAGTGAGTAACTTTTCCTACATTCACAGGTCAGTCCATCCCTGTTTATTGTAGCACACGCTACAAAACTCTAAATCTATCTCTGCATCCCTCTGCCTCCCCAATCAGGCTGGAAACTCTTTGAAGGTGGAATCAAGTCTTCATAATTGTGTCTCCCATATGACCCAGCATATGGTTTATACTCTGTAAATGAGTGATCACTGTGGGAATGACTGCAGCAAATCTGAATAACAAACTAGATACCGAGATAGGGCCTTGCTTAAGGACAAGAATGGAGTTTCATTAGAATTTCAGGGTACTGAGATAGCCAATGTCATGGTCAGCAAAGGGCTCCATTATAAGAACAAATAAAGATCGTCTGTATTTTCTGCCATTATTTTTACCTCCACTGGCTGCAGAAAATCAGTGACACAGCATAACACGATGATCGACCCAAACAGGTCCTCAAATCTAGCACCTCTTCCGAGAAGCTAAAACTCAATTAAGATTAGCCATAACCAACTCTGTGCATCCTCAGTCACTCTAGTCCTGTCTGACCCTTTGCAACCCTGTGGATT